TATATGAAAAAGTAAAATTTCAGATTATTTTAATTATTGGTGGATGCACTGATAAATGAAACGAACACGTTTTCCTTGCTTAAAATGTATGTAAAATTGCATTTTAACTCACGAAACAGTGAAAAACAAAATTGAGCACTGTGTGCAGAACACAATACATTTCATAAAAAAGTATACGCATACATATTACGTAATCATTTACCTTGTTTAAAAAGGAAATTGTTCTTTTACGTTTCGCATAACAAATACTATTTTCCATGAGTTCATGCGTCACATGTAACACAAGGAAATATTTCCATTGAAATCTCGAAACTGATTTTCCGCAGCATTACATAACTTTTTCTACACTATGTATATTACTCCGAATATACGTACGTATACGAGAAAGTTTAAAAGGCGATTCATGTGCTTATGTATGTGTTCGAGTTCCAACTTAACTCTTCAACGCGAAATAATTTCACTTCAACAAAACTTGGTATATATTAGTACTGAGGAATTACAGTGAAGGTAAGAAAACTATGGGGTAAGACACCCTTAGAGGCCGGAATGGGAAGGGTAGCATTTAAAAACAAAATCATTAATTTAGTAAGGAAGGTGACCGGGGCATTTACGCTTGCGCCAGCGAAAAACACGACTCTGCTAAATATACGTGATAATATTTATTATATGCTAAATATTTACTATTTACTAATGATGCGTATGCAATTATTTTGGAATACTTTCTTTACTATTAGCGTTATTTTCACGCCAAATTTGCCTTCTGTAGTAACTCTGTCTATATTTGCAAAGGCGAAACTCGTCATCATGGTAATTACAGTGCAAATATTGCGTTGTCCGGACTCGTCACCGTAGAATTGCGCTACCGACTGTTTATCTTTTGCATGACGTTTTGAAGGACATGTAGAATACTCGATAGTTTACCTAAGTAGATTCACTAAAAGTTATATCTCATAGACGACACAAGTCATTTTATCTTTCAAGTCGAGAAGTATTGTCAAGTAAATAATTACAAAACATTTCGCTCATTACTGTGACGAGTTTGAAAAAAATTGTCTTGCAACAAAGGTGAATGTCAATGAAAAAGATACCTGTTCTTGTTGATGTTCTTGAAATACTAAATATTTGTACCGTTGAGGTTTGGTTGGTGTTGAAAATTGTCAGGGATTTAAACGACGTGCTATGTGCGACGTGCGACATACTTGTATTTGATACTTCTACTTGTTTCTGTACTTTTTTTTCAGAAAACATGAAGTTGAAGAGCCAGAAATGTGATTTATCGGTACATTATTATATACAGTATTATCCTTTTTGTTGACAATATAATTGAAATAATTGATTAGTTTGGGGATTTTTTTAATATATTCTTCTCGTTCCTAAACTTTCTTACGTTTAGCTTAATCACTTTCAAAACGCTTCATTACTGAGATGTATACTTTCTCTATCATGCTTCTGGCTGTGTGTTGCAAGGTACACATCGGTCTGTGAGTTTATTTCCCTCTATTTTCTTTACTGAGATATCCGCACACACACATTCGTGTCCGTTCTCTTACCTTCAATCTGCGTTTCCCGGCTGCAAGTGTCTGGTGATGCACACAGTTAAATATGTTGATTAGCAATCGTTACATTTTTTACTATCATAGTGTTAGGTAGGTTATGGGAAATTCTGAAAAGGGCAATGACGCAGCAAATAAACATATAGGTTATCCCGTGAATGAATATGTTATTTACTTTCTAATGTGGATTGAAGGCTGAAAATTTCATTGCGCAAACTAATAAATCTACTCTTAATTTTATTTTTAGATACAAAAATTACATTGGCATATTCTTCACTTGCTTTGCCACATAGTGTACTGGGGGATGCTTCAATATTGGCACTACTTCGAACAGTGAATTGAATTGGATTGAATTGAATTGATGCCTTTTTTATGTGGGCTGACTCGGGCCATCATGCCCGTTCTCCGTCTGACTACGCAAATTTCCCTACGCTCCTTTCACCCTCTAGCGGAGAAAGGAGGTATCGCCCGGACAATGAAACAGGCGATTAGAATTTAACTCCGAGACTTCATTTAGGTTTGAGGATCTTTTACACGCAGTAGATCTACTAACATGGGACAGCCGGCTTTACTTCCCTTCCGACGAAGGGAGTACGAAGGATTTTTTCCACCGCTTCGATCAGTTTTGAACCCGCCAGCTAGCCGATAGGCTAACCGTTACACTATCACCGCCAGTGAAAAACAGAATGAAACGTGGAGTGTACATAATCTTAAAAAAATGTATGTCCAGGCACGACTACAGATTATTTTTAAACCTGCATCATTAACCAAATGTTGTTGTTGTTGTTTTTGTTATTGGTAACTGGTTTTGAAAATCGAAGCCCTCATTCTGACATTGACGGGCCAGTGCGGGCAATTCTTACCTCTCTACCAGACGTAAACAAAACGAGGCCCTTCATGGAAATCCTTATGAGCGCCCTCGTCAAGGTTTTGCCAGTATTTATTCAACTTTTCGTGAGTTTGGTCCCACTATAGCCGCGTCTGGACGAAACACGTTCTGCGCTCTCCGGCAGACCAAATTTTTATCTATGTGCTGCCCATGTGCAGCAAGTGAAACCATGTTTTTCTGCAGGTTTTACATACTTTGTGTTAGGCTGTTAACACAATGGGTAATATCAAACACTCAAGACATGACTTTGGTTTTAATACTTTTAACCTCAAAAATCTCTGTGATAGATATAAGAAGAAAAGCTGTAGGCGTGTGACGTCCTATTCCATTGTCATTCAAAATTCAGTTCAATGAGCCCATTGGATTACGGAATCATGTCACACTTCACCCCTATGTTATATATTTCAAATATAATAGTCGTCTAAGGGACAAAAGAGTAATACAAATTTCTGGACGCCATAGTATAATTGCAGTTCACCTCTTCCAGAAACTTTTGATTGGATGTCTAAAAGTTGAAGTAGGTAATGTCAAAAAACTGGTCTATTTTTCACATCGAACAAGTGTACAAAATAAAAAATAAAAATGTTTATTTTATGTTTGCACGAAAACAGTTTGATGTGAATTCAAAATCTTGGCTATTTCCCATGGGAAACGCCATGGGAATAGAATTAACGACACTACCAAAAGATTGGCTGCGCGAGAAAATCTGCAACAATTTCATGATCTAATTACGACACCATAAACATTCGAGTGGGCAAAAAATGTTCCTAGTATTAACTTTGTTTTTGACAATTGATGACCAGAAAAAAAAATGTTACTTATTGAAATCCCCATATGAAAAAGTGAAACTAGTTATGCAAAAATACACTTTCGTGGATCTATTGTTTCATCAACTTTTGTAGAATGTATATTAATGAATGAATGAATGAATATGAACTTCAACTACTAATTCTACAATTTCAACTAATCATTCCTGACATTTCGCTTTTAATTATAAATAGACTGAGAGCATTTGGCTTCATACATTTGGGCATTTAAACATGGATGCCGCTGTTCCCCACATGCTAGATGTTTGATTGAGAAAGTTAACTTATTGCAACTGTATTAATGCATATCACATTCCGAAATTTTGCACAAACATTCAAACACCACTTCTGCGCTATTTTTTGGAAACAGGCCTGGCAACCCTATACGAAATCCAGCTTCCAAAATCACTCGCGAGGTTTTTCGAGCAAATATGTCCGAGAAAATTGGAAACGCGTACTTCTTTCTCAAATCCCAATTAGAGAGCAAGGTTTTTTATGCCACTTTGTTAATTATCTTTCTCTGAAGTGAGCAAATGGCTGGCTGGCTGGAAGAGGTAGTAAAATACTTCGCTCTGCCTCTTTAGGGCTTTTTGTCTCGGCGCGGGGTGACGGGTGCGGAGTGGAGTGCGATAGCTAGCCGTCAGCAACCGGGTCAGGCGTGGGTGGCCTCGTGGCAGTTCCTATTTGGAAGACATTCAACAGAGCGTTGATGACGCGAATGTCGATGGGTTGAGCGAGAAATCGCCGCGAAACGGGCATGGTATGTCTCATTGTTATCCCAGATTTAAACTTGTATAGTATACAAGTGGATGTACCAAATATATTTTTTCGTTAATAAAAAAAACATTTGCTATATTTACATTTTTAAAAGGGGTAGATTTATTTATTGGAAAATTATTTAAATCTTGCCCCCAAAATCTAATTATAAGCTTCAAAATGACGTATATGCAATATTTATAACTTTAAAAAATAGGCAATACAAGTTTTGCTCATTATTGCAGAAATTTCAAAATTTTAACGAAATAGTAAAAATATATCTTCAAAACTATTTTTGCAACTAGCTTTTTAATCGGTACATTTATGCATATTTTATTCGTATTAACGGGCATTTAAGGCGCACGAAGTTTGCAAAAACTCTTTGAGGGTGCACCCATGTTGAATTGGCGCTAAACGAGTGCATTAACTGATGCCTCCACTGTGTCCTGAACCGGAGGTTCTAGGTCAAGTCGCGACGGTGGCAGGATTTTCGACGCTGGCTAGACAGCTAGTTCGCGTTCTGTCATTGTCAATTGAATTCTAGCGGCCGGCTCGGTAGTTTTCCGTGGTTTCTCCGATCACGACCAGGTGAATGGCAAAGCAGTACCCTACCGCGCGCGGCTTTTCCTTCCCGTTCCTTGTATCCTGTCTCTTACTTACACCCACTCACATGCACGACACTACCACACTTCTCATAAGATCACGGGACGCTTACGGGAGCTTAGAGCTTGCCCCAGCTGGGGCGGTGCTCCTTGTTGGGAGATACCTGGTTGGGGAAATCCCACTAGCGTCGACAGGTTGGCGCCGGATCTCACCATCTAGCGGGGAAAGATCACCGCCACCTCCCGAGAGAGAGAGAGAGAGAGAGAGAGAGTGAGAGTGAGAGAGAGAGAGAAAGAGAGAGAGAGAGAGAGAGAGAGAAAATGCTACCCTTACGGGACTAATGATAGCTGCCGCGTCCGGAGTGACTAATGCACCACCGACTGGATGTTGCAGGCGCGGCTGGCGCAGCGCAAGGCGTCGACGGCGGCGCCGCTGTCGGGGGAGTGCACGCCCGCCTCGGCCACGCAGGGCTCCGAGGACGCCCTCGCGCCCGCCCTCGAGAAGGGCTACCCCTTCGCCCTGGTGCTGCGGCTGCGCGTGCTGCAGGTGAGTGCAACGCCTGCGTTCTCGCGATGCAGGAAACTCGACAAGTAATTAAACTCTCTTCGAGAGGCTAAATCGCGAGGTGCTAGGGTTCGATAGTTTGATGGTGGCGGATTTGCGGCACTGGTTGCAACACACCAAGGTGCATTAAACCTGATTAAATCTGCGTTTAAATATGGGTAAAAAAAAGTTTTTCTAAATCACATCGAATCTCAAATTTTAAGTGACAAAATTGGTTTTAATTGTTTTCCCTATCGTACCCATTGTTCAAAAATCTAAAAAAATATGTTATAGAATATAATAAGGCACATACTAGAAGGAAAAACTGAGACAATACTCTAACGTTATCACTAAAAAATCACTTTCCAAAATTTTTGGGAACGGAGGAAACCAAAAAATTAAGAAAATGTCAACAAAAAAACTTTTGGCGGCGATAGATGGCATATGGCAAGAGTGTATGGCAAGTCTGAATAGCTAGCAGAGATCAAAGAAAATAGAAAACTAATACGGGAAATTCTGTAGCACTGCTAGTTAGTTGTTTTTTGTGTTTGGTAACTGTGAAGGGAATACGTAAGGACAACACAAACAAGCACAAAGACACAAAAACCCATGCCAGAAATGGGAATCTATATCGCGACCCTTCGAACCGTGGCAGCTACGAGCTTTCAGCCTTGCTAACTCAGCTATCCAGGCCGTCTTAAAAGAATTTTATGTGAATGCGACAATCAAATATTACTAACGCTGTGGATAAAATGTAATCCTCTTTTACCCTCATTTGTACTGACAGTATAATGAACTGCGAACTCAGTTATCCAGGCCGGTTTAAAAGCATTTAATGTGAATGCGATATTTAAATATTACTAACGCTGTGGATAAAATGTAATCTTCTTTTACGCTCACTTGAGCTGCCAGTAAAATGAACCTCCCATTTCCAGATCGTGTGCGGCATCTCGGTGATGGTGATGGGCACAGTGGCCTTCATCGAGGAAGGTAGCGAGCTCAACTTGGGACTCGGCATCCCGGCGGGCGCCGCCACGGTGCTTGCAGCAGGTGAGACGCGAATACGACAATTGCTTTTTTCTTTGTTGTTTTTGTTGTTGTTGTTGTTGTTGTGAATTGTCCTAGACCCACGCGAACGTGCCCCTTGTACCCACCGAGGCTCACTCATATTCTCTCGGGGGTAAGTGCACGTGACCTATAAAAGTCAGCTAGAAGAGTAGGAACACCGCCGCCTCCCGACATACAACCTGTACTTACAGGTCTACTGACTAAAAATCCCGGATTACACGATCATTTTTTGTCGATTCAGTAAAGTGACGGACCAGACTGAATGTGCTTTATATGCTAAAATGTTGCATGTTTCATTTCTCGGTTCAGTCCGAGTTTGACAACTGCGCACCTGGCGTCACTTTTTGGACTTTCTCTAGTTTTCTATGCGTGTGGTGCGATTTGTTCCTTTTGCGTGGTTTCGAGGGCATTCCAGTGTGTGAAATATATTGTGAAGTGATTATACAGAAGAAGTAAAACATGTTCTGTGTTCTAATGTCTCGTTTCGTGATCAGTTCTAATATAATCTAACTTGAGTTGCTACCATAATGTGATATTCAACTGTTTGATCTTTAGCGCTTTCTGCAGCGTCCTGAGAAAATATTTTCATCAGGAATGCGGAGGACAATAGGATTTTTTTCTTCTCCCAATTCATAATTCTTTCATTTGATGGGTGAAACCCGTTGCATAATGATACTCATTAAGATACAGATTTCATTACGATATATGTTCTTGACAATCACAGAACAGTTTAGGAACTAAGTACCAGTGTTGACACTTATCACTGAAGTAGTAAATGTTTCGTTCTTCTAGTAAATGTTTCGTTCGATTGTGTACATTAAAATTGTATCTAATAGTATACTATGCAGGTCAGTTTTAGTTTATTTTATTATTAGTATTCTTTATGCGAAATATTATTTAAAATATATTGGGTCGTAATTTCACTTTGATCCTATTGGCTAACACAGTCGTAGTCACTGGCAAAGCAAAGCCATCAGCGGCAGGTTAAGATAAGGAGCTGAACACGTAGGCTTCCGCGGCTCGAGTTCATGACTTCTCGGCTGTCCGGGTGACTACCCTGGCCACTACCCTGCAGAAGCCTGCGCTATGACAGGCGAAACGTCTGCCTATCAACCAACGACGCGGCGTCACCCGGACAGCCAAGAAGTCATAGGATAGAGAGCAGTCCGTCAGGTGGCCTTTCCTGAATCCTGCATGTCAACTGCCACGAAACGATTCAATGTAAAAGTTAGCGTAAGTCGTAGAAAACGTACCGTATGAAACTCGATGTAATGGGTATTAATACTCGTGTAAAGTTAACGTTAAAGTTAAAGTAAAAGTTACCATTAGTAGTAGAAAAAGTACAATATGAAACTCGATGTAATGGGTATTAATACACTCATGTAAAGTTAACGATACTGGTTCGTTCTTCGCTCGAATCGAAGTATCACACTCGTGTATTAACAGGGCCGGATTTAAGTAGTGCGGGGCCCCAAGCACAAAATTGCGTTGCTACCCCCCCACACACACACCGAAAAAATAGCTCCATCTTTATTAAATAAAAAATGTACTATAGTACAAGTACTTTCTGTACGGATGCAATTGAAAACTGATAATTTTTTATAGAAATTTTTACTTTTGTTACATTTTTTTACATTAAATACATTTTACATATTTTTTTCTGCTCTTCACTGCAGAAAATTGGTCGATGATGTTTTCAAAACGAAGATTTCTCAGCTTATCATGCTCCATACTCAGGATACTTAGGTCTACTAAATTTTCGTGAGACATAGTCACAGACAAAAAAATATGGTATGCGTATTTTTCCGAAACGCGGTGCCTCTGGTGAATGGGGGCCCCCAAGCAACTGCTTGTTTTGCTTGTAGGTAAATCCGGTCCTGTGTATTAATCATTACATCGATTCATACCGTACTATTTATTGGCTCGCTTAACGTAGTCCGCGCGTCGGTGTATCGCGCTCGCAGCGGCCAGCATCCACACCAGCCGGGGCTTCGGGGCTACGATCGTCGTCGTGCGCGCCGGTCTCCCGTGGGCGGCGCTGCGCTTCCTGGGCGTCGCGCGGGGTGCGGCCCCGCTGGCGCTGCTGTGGGCGCGGCATGCGCGCTGCACGGGCGCTGCTCTGGTGCAGGCGGCGCGCACGCTGGCGACGCCGTCGCCCCGGGCCTCCCGCGCCCACGGCCCGCCCCCCGCCCGCCCCGGCCGACGAGCCGCCCGCTCGCTCCCGGACGCCCCGCCCCCGCGCGGCGCCCTGGAGGGCGCCGCCAACGCGCCGCTGCCGCAGCCGCAGAGGGACTTCGTGGTGCTGGCCGCCGTGCAGCTGACGCTCGCGGGACTCACACTCGCCGTGGTTAGGTACACCGACTCCGGTTATTACTGAGCATTTGGTTCGACTATACGTGTTTCATATGTACCTAATTAATTACTTCCTCTAACAGTCCGTAAATTCAGCAATTATTATTATTATTATTATTATTATTATTATTATTATTATATATTTTAAAAAAAATTGTGGGTGCTTCATACTGAAAAATTGATTGACGGTAAAACGTGTCTGTCTGAAGTCAACGCTATCGCCTAAATTGTAGACACCTAGATGGTATCATCATACATCAATTATTTCACTCATTGTTTTTCCACTCCGACATTAAAAATCCTAAAAAAACACTGATCACCAGTTTCTAGGTATACACAACTCTAATATTTTTTTTGATTTGTCCCCAATTGTAAAATTTGACGGCTCTACACCCACTGCGTGTGGCCGAACACTGACCTGACCTGTCATAGAAAGGAGGGAGTCTAGGCCAACGTGCACGCCATCTCTATGCAAATTTAATAACTTCTTATGGATGCACTGCTCTTCACATCCACCGATGTTTAAATGATTCCGAACATTCCTTTTAGGTGTTGCAATTTTCACAAACCCCAGTGTATTATATGAAAGGATTAGAGTAAGGAACGAATGTTTTTGAACGAAAATTTTCAAGCAAATTTAATTGTATTTACATGAAAATATTTGTTAAACATAAAAAGCAAATTATTTAATACGAATACCATCAGTTTTATTAAATATATAACATGGATGTTTTTATCTCTATTTTAATTACAGCAATTTCTCTGTCAACGTATCGCTGTAATGATTTGTCCGATGTCAGGGTCTCTCTACTCGTGTATTCCATGCTTCGTTCGTAGGTTGTCCGTACTTTAAGTACTTGATGCTGGAAGGTTTACAAACTGGTGATGTAACACACTTGCGCTGTTAACAAACACTTTGTAGCGTACACTCGAATACGATGAGCATTCAAATGAAATCACCTTAAAGACGCCACACAAATGAAGCTCCTATTGGATAACGGACACCCTGCAAGTGCCTATGTATTTAAATCCGGCGACAGTTGTAAATGCACACAGTTGTTTCTATAGGCAGGTCAGCATACTCAAAAACGTACTTAAATGGTCCAAATTTTTGAGGTTATCTCAAATCAAATACGGGCAGGAATATATTTTGAGCAAACGGCGATATCTATAACTACAACACTCGACGTGGTAATCATATTCATCAGGCGACAGTATCAACAGCTCCCTACAAAAAATTCACATGCAATACATGTACATTTTTTACAACACCTTTCCACACAGATAACATTAAACGATTAAATTCGATACAAAAGTTCAAGTCCTAAGTAAAATATTTTCTGCTGTACAACTGTTTCCATACAATTAGGGACTATACCGAGCATTCAAAAGGAAAGTAATATTCATTTTAACAACGACATTTAATTTATTATTTACCATTTCGGTTGTATAATTCTAAAGATCCTGTAACAAGTAATTTATTTCAGCTTCTGGGTCAATGACCCCCATCTCGATCAAGCTTTTGTCTAGTTTCCCTGATCCTTGAGCAATTGCTGAGATGGCCCCTTGTTTTGCTTGTGGACATAAATGTAACTTCAAATTAACTTATCGCACGTCACACACCGTTTTAACTGTTTTTTACATAAACAAATAAATCAATGAATCTGTGGGGTTTACCTCAAATTTCATTATGTGGCCCAACAAAGTAAATAACATTTCCAACAAAATTGACATTTCAAATATTTTCTGAAGTCAATAACATAGGAGAAATAAAGGAGAATGGCAAATTAAACGTTTTTAAATATGAGGCATATATAATCAGTATATTTAATAGAAGAAAACCATTTTATTGCATTTCTCCAAATTTTGGAATGTACATTTAACACCACTACTTCGTAATAAATATTTCTACTTGACTATTGTGCTTCCTCTATGATCCATGATTGTTTATATCTCTACATTGCTGGGGCAATTGTTTATATACAGTGACGTAATACTTTCACCACTTTCATTATACACAATATTTGAATTCAACTTAATTAAAAATATTTATATGTCAATTAATTGTCTCAGTTGTGAATTTGCAACTGAGAGGCACAATAATATTTATTAGCGTATAAACACAATTTTAACTATTTTCTTCTGAATGGAGAAGTTGATTGATAAATAAGTATTTAAAAAAGTTTAACCGGTTGCATCTCTTTTATCATAAAACAATTTAGTATTTCTAGTACGCAGTAGTGAATTTATCTCTATTTTTCTAGTTACCAGTACCCCCCTCCTTTTTAGTCATCCAACTGTAAGGTGATTGATTTTGTGTATTGTGTAATGAAGCATTTCAAAAAATATGTAATTAAAACAGAAATGTATCATAATATAATGTTGCTTCTTGTTTCCCATCCCTTGTTCTTACCATCACACTCCTTGCTAAACCCTACCTATATAATATACCCTCACTCGGATATCTTTCTCACATCTTTTTGGTCCTTGTTTCCTCTCGGTCTCGTTTCCCTTGTTTTATTTTCTTTTTTTCAGAACTCACTGTGATTGTTTTTTCATTTACTCTCTTGACCGTGATCCAAAATTAAGCTTTGCTCTTCCACTCATTTTGTCCTTTCTCTCTATTTCTCGCCCAATTTCTCTCCCCCTCTCTCCGACTAACTCTCCCTCTCTTTCCCTCGCACATACAATCTTTAACTTCCGCTAACTCCCCTTGGTTTTTCCTTCACTTTCTCTCCGTCCTCCAATAACATGATCTCCAGTGACCTTTATCTACCTGGCTTTTGTTCTCTCTCTTGCTTTTCCGCTGTCTCAATTTTCCCATTTCTCTTCTCTATCTTACACTGCCCATCACTTCCTTTCCCTGTTTTTTTCTGCATTGCCTTGCCCAGTCTGCCATGCTCTGTCCTGCACTGTCATGCCGTGCCGTGTCGTCCTCCGTACTGCCCTGCCACTGCCCTGCCACTGCCCTGCCACTGCCCTGCCACTGCCCTGCCACTGCCCTGCCACCACACTACCACCGCACTGTCACCAAACTACCACCGCACTGCCTTTGCACTGTCATTGCACTGCCACTGCCACTGTCACTGTCCTGCCACTACCACTTTACTGCCCTTTACAGCTCTTTCTTGTCTTCCCCTTCTCTGTCGCTGTGCAGCAAGCGTGCAGTGTGTGTGAGAGCGGCGCGCGGTGTGGCAGGTGCTGGCGCTGCTGCGCGTGGACTGCGTGTACGACCCCGACTGACCCGGGCCCGCCGCCGCCACCCCGGGCGCCGGCGCCGTGGGCGTCAGCGTGGTGGGGGCGGTGGGCGGCTTCAGCGCGCCGCTCGGCAGCACCACGGCCGCCACCGGGGAGCGTGCGTCGCGCGTCGCTTGGGTCATCTAGGGCCCCTGCGCCCCGCCCCGCACCTACGCTCCGCTCCGCGCCGCACTCCACGCCGCACTCCACGCCAGCTGGCCGCAGGGGCAGGCGGACGTGCCTGTGGTGGTGGCACCTTCCGCAGAGGCGTAGATAGAGGAGAGACGCGGAACACTGGTGCTGCCAGTTGAATAGTTTGGGAAGACCAAGTACTCTGACTGAACAGTGTTTTGTCTCGGCCATCCTCAAGTCTGCGCGGTCGGAAACGTGTTTGTCCTTTTTTCGTATGTGGATGGGATTGGCTGACTCCAGAAACGCCTCCAGCAGAACTGCTCTAACTTCGTCACTGCTTTTTCGGTGCATACTTCTCGCTGTGAAGCTCAGTGACGACTCTCTTCAGTCTTCTGAAGATAACCTGACAAAGGTGCCAAGGAACTTTTTTTTCCTGTGTTGGGTCAACGCGCGGTAGATTCGGAATCCCTGACGCAAACCTTTCTTTACTCGGCACTTTTCTTTTTTAACTCAACGGTAGACTGTCATCTTATGTGACCCTTCGCCAGATATTTTGATACAGTCTCAAGCGAAATACTGAACTCCAATCAGCCCTTTCCCGATTTTCGCTGGGACCATGATGCAGTGTTCTTCCGGTTTGAACCTACTTCAGGATACTTGATCGCATTTCTCGAAATTCAGGATAGCAATATCCTCGCTTGTCTCAGCTCACTGTGTCTCTTCACGAATGCCACACCACTACTGGGCTTATCGTTAACCAGCCTAAATGGTTTGCGAGCTCAAATAAACTTATTAAAACTTGATTTTACTTATTCTACTTCGAAAAAGATCAATAAAAGAGACAAATTTGCTTGAGAATGAACATTCGAAAATGTTTAAATGGATTTTATAGGTAAAACAAGAGAATCATAAAATAATAAAATGTTGCAATTGTGAGAATTGGAATCGATTCAGAGCCAAAATTTTACACTCGTAACAAGGTGAGAGAAAATTAAAGAAAACATATTCTTAAATATAATGGAACGACTGTTTACACGAGTATATCTTTGCGAGAGTTCGTTGGTTTTCTATGCAACTGCTTGACGAAATATATGACACCTCAGTCAGTCATTTCAAGTATTTTATAGAATTATATGTATTTTCTGAGATATTAGAAAGAATTCAAGAAATGTATTTACTACTTTATAATGCACGAATTCATGTCACTACATGTATCTCCTTCCGGTTGTCACTGTAGGAGTCATTACGCAAGAATTCTAGAAAAGTGAAATAAAATATTGCCAGACAACACGAATCTTGAGCATTGTCGTTAAATTTTATATGATTTCATGGAATACATCTGGTATAAATTTACAAAATTCTAAAATTAAAATTCTATGAAGAGTGTATTATGAAGTATCAAGATAAACATTTCGTCTTGGACTCTAGTTTGAATACATTTGTCATATTGTGTATTATTTATTTACGTGTACCCATGTCCCACAAAAGCTATAATTAATCACCACAATATCTCAATGAACACATTTTCAGATCACAAAGAGATAATCACACCGCAAAGTAGAAATTATAAAGACTAGA